CGTTGTGTAGGCCTATCGCAGCCTGGGGTGTTCGCAGATGAACACTCGATGATCTGAAATGAGAAAAAAGAAGAAATAAGTGATAAATACTGGCAGAATGAGGGGAAGGGGTGTAAGAAGGAGGGGGGAGTTTACTACGTTGCACAAAGTAATTTTAGATGACATAACAGTGTCAGTAAATAGCCTGATACAGATAGACAAATGAACGCGCCCGCGCGCATACATACATACATACATACATACACACACACACACACATACACGCACACGCAGACACACACACATACGCACACGAACACGCACACACACACACACACAAAGAATACACCTCCACTCAACACATAAACACAGCGCTCACACACACAATCAACCCCAACCCAAACTGCACGAACACCGTGACATCTATAACTCAGAAAAGACAAAAGGAAACCGTGCGCATTTTCCAGCCCACGAGGAACCACGCTGCGTTATATGCACAACAATCAGGTCGTCTTCTCGTGCAAATGGCAGCGTTGGGGAATCTAATCGCCGGGTTAACTTGGGTGTTGAAGGACAGTGGTTTCCAGTCCCATTTTGCCGCTCGCCGTCTCGCTTTCTCTGTCTTGTTTTTATGTTCTTGTACGTCTTTACGTTTACATTTTATTTATTCTGTTTTTTATTTTCTTTCTCTCTTATTATTTTTCCTGTTTTTTCTGGAATCGGCAGCTATTTTAAAATACACAGACACACACAAAACTTCTATAGCGTCTATAACCAATATATCTCCATGGAAATCAAACATAATCACATGAAAAGCGGGAATACAATCAACCAACACAGAATACCCTTCTTTCAAATACAAGTCCCAGATCATGGCTTCTGATCTTACATCCTTCTAACCCCAAAACAAAAGTCGAGTGGTCGTACAACTCAACTGCCTAACGCTACAAGACCTTATGAACCTCATCTGTCAACCACTTGGGTTTTGATGATGCTTTACAATAGTTGGAAAACTATGAAGTATTTCTCTCCAGCTTGGAGAGAGATTCAAGCCGAGGGCATAGTAGTTAATGTAGGTTGGGTTTGATTTTGTCACTGTCTGTAAGAACACTGGATACGTTTATGCTGATGTCTGTTATGTATAGTACACGTATTTCTACATCATATGTTGACAATGTTTTAGCTTTTTTTTCGTCCAAGTGAGTATGTAAACGCCCTGACGCACCTTAGCCGGACCGTCCTCAGTAATGCAGAAAAATCCTAATGGACTGAGCAACGTATCTCATGCTCCACATACTCCATTTACTACAGATGTTGCTCTAGTGTATTCCAGGGTGTCAAGAAGCCCCTTGTCAGTTTTCTTTAACGTGCAGGTACACCACGTCAGCTGAGGTGCTTTGATGTTTGCCGAAACCCAGCACTGTGTGGCAGCTATGCAATAGCCTTGCCCTCCTTATCCCCTACTACCCCGCTACCCCTTCCACTCATTACTACGACCTGCCTCTCTCCTCTTTGCCTCATCTCCCTCCACCTCCTCCTTCCCCGTCTCTTTACCCTACCCCCCTTCATCTTCCACGTTACTTCTCCCTCTGCCTCCCTTCTTTGTCCCTTCTTCCTTACTCCCCCATCTCCTTCATCCCACTTCCCTCCTCACCCGCTCCTCTCCATTTCTTTCCACCTCCTCATTATTCCCCCTCACCTCCCCCCACACCCACGCCTCCCCCCCCCTCATCCCGACACCCCCACCAGCTAACCCCCAATTAAAGTGTCAAATTCCCGAAGAATCCTGAACATTCTTAGCGCTCCAGAACTGTCTACATTGTCGCATGAATTACATTTTTATAAGAGATGGACGATTTCCCGCTCGAATTTTAGATATTTGAATATTACTCTTTTCATATTTCATGCTATCTTTTAAATCTTATTTTCTTCCTATTCCTTATTTTTTTCGAATGTTAAACCATTAAAATTCTTTGAAAAAAAATAAAACCCGTCACAAATCATACTCTATTCCGTCTATTTTTCCTTCCTTCTTTCTTCCCTTCTTTCTTTAATTCCCGGAGACTTATTGATAATGAATATAGATGAATTCGATCAGTCATCGGAGAGCGGGCGGCATGTCGGACATGAAATGAAGCCATCAAAAGTTCATCAGCAAATTCTAATGCCTAATACGCTTTAATACCTAAGTTAACATGAACACAAATCCGATTTTGTAAATTTAATCAAAGATCAGTTAACATTCTGGCTTGATGAATAATGATGAAATAATCAAGTAAAGAATTCAGACTTCAATCAATATTCAGGATTCTTTCTTTCATTATGCAGAAGAGGACGTGCATGCGGGGAGAAAAAACGCGGTACATAAAGTATTCGAACTAATTAAACAACCTGCAATATGATTACACTGGCAATCGCGTAGAGGCGAGGGTGTACACCGAACGCGCGTCCACGAACAAACGGGAATCGTGGGATAAGACACAAAGCGAAACAGGATCTAATGTAGACATGTAACTACGTG